ACAAATTTCTCCTATACAGCAAATAAGTGTGCACCGTAAGTATAAATTAGTATTGAATTTCTATAGAGTATCTATTATAATGACATTATTACCTTAACAAAATCCAACGCTTGATTTTTGTTACTATTAGGCATTTCGCGCCATGACTCATAATTGATCGGTAACAGATTCGCATTACATCCAACTATGCCTAAGTAACCTGTTAGAAGACGTGATTCTGGGCCAATAGGTTGACCGGCATCGTTTCTTGAAACTTTGACACGATGCCCAGGAGGAAGTTGGTATAATTCCTTCAAAGTTGGTATAATATTAAGATGAATATAGAAATAATCACTCATACATTATGAAATTTTAAATTGCTAAAATTGTATGGGAGCAAGTGTATCTATGTTATTTTATAAAAAATATAAGGGTGAATATATAAAACTGCATAGTATAGAACTAATCATTTTCACAGATGTTTCATCGAAATCAAGCATTTATATCTAAACAAACTCATGTTTCAATGGTAAAAATAGAGGCATGAAGAACTTACAAATGAGTTCATTACCTTTGTTCCATATCAGAAAGGTTCAAGAAAAATAGAAAAATAGTAACCCAAAGAGGCCTGCCAGAAATGTAACTTCAACAAAAAGAAATAGGCCTGCCAGAAATGTAACTTCAAAGAAATAGGCCTGCCAGAAATGTAACTTCAACAAAAAGAAAATAGATTGAAGTGCCATATACTTTTTAAATTTGCTCATGGTGTTATATTGGAGCACAATAAATAATAAACCTAAAGAGGGCCACAATGAAATTCACGAACCATGTTATTTACTACATAAATGAGAAATTGTATGTTCTTTCCCAATAATAACAAAATCTTCACTTAAATGCATTAAATCATTTGTCAACATTTGCAAAACAACATGTATGTTTTAATTATCAGGGAACCAAATAAAACCAAAGTGGTGAGAAACAAAAGTAATTGAGAAAGAAAACACCAAGAGCTATTTACGAGTTTTACGCATCTCATTTTCAACCAAATCAGAGAGAAAAGCTTAACACTTTATGAGTAAACATGTAAATCAATTGCAGTCACTATAGGACTGGTAAATATACATCAAATAAAATTAACTTAGATCAGATCTGGGAGTTCTTATGAAATACAAGAAAATATGGCACTAATAAATAAGATCATATTGGATAACGACCTCAAAGGAAGCTCCCTTCTGAAAAAGAGATTTACATAAGCACCCAACCCTCTCCAGATTGATGCAAACTCAATAACAATGTACCTAGACGAGTATAAGTCATCTTGGGATTTTAGAAAACTAAACATATGAAAGAACGAACACGGAAATAGAAAATCTATCGTACCCTCCTCCAAATACAACAACACGCTTAGGTAAGTCCTCCAAACTCAATGCTTCATCAGAAGTTATACCCAACTCCTAAAACATAAAACAAGGAGAGTTAAGAAACAAAAAAGGAGAATGATAACCATTCTGCTTTAAAAACATAACCAATGTGGTGTAACTATTTGTTATTTGTCCATGAACTAAGTTTGAACATATTTCTAACACAAATTACAAACAAAAAACGATGAAGCGGAAGAAGCCAGCAAGAGAAACTAAAACCCAATATTCTTGTAACAATAGAAAGATTCTAAACAAAAGGCTAAAGTTCATAAATAATGGAGTGAAAATCGCAATATGCACAATGAACAAAATTTGCATACCTGCAACGATATACAAACCATAAACAAATTAAATCGTTGGTTTTGATAAGAGAAAAAAAAAACATAATTAGGACACACACTCCACTAATTTTAATCATACTACCTTTAAAGGTACGCACTCCATAAATTTAAATATTGCCTCTATGGCATATCTTGCTACCAACTTAACCATCAAGTTAATTGGCTTCCAGTAAAAAAACACAACTTAAAAGCAATTAAAATAGATTTTCAATCTGGAATCACAGGTCTATCAGTTACGAAAGGTTTGTTTACACAAGCCTTTGCTGCAATAAATGAAATGCTAATCGTAAGGCTACGTAGAGCTATAGACTACACATTACAAAATTCATCACATTGAATCAACTACTAAGAGAAAGAAAGCCTAACCTGGGTATCGCGAAAATCTTCTCATTTTCGTCGCGTAATTTTTTATCCGAGTCTGAAATCAGAGAGAAATCGAAGGGAAACAAGGGAAGAATGGTTAAGAAATGCTGGGTTAGATTTGGGATTTTACTTATCGACCGAAGAATGGTGTACTACTTGCGACGACGTTGGAGGCGAAGGAAGCTGGGCGCAGTGAAGGAGATGGCTTCTGTAATTGGCGTGAGGGAACGAATAATAGTGATGGAAAAGAGGGCTAGGGCTAGAGGAGAATTAAAACGGACTTTGCGGCATTTAAATATACAAACGCCACTGAAGGGTAACCAATTGCGGCGTTTTTAATTAAAAACACAACTAATGTTTAAAACATTTGCGGCGTTTTTGTCAAAACGCCACTAAAGTACGAATCATTTGCGGCGTTTGTTAGAAAAACGCCGCTATATGTGGAATCTATTGAGGCGTTTTTGTAAAAACGCTGCTAAATTACTAATATTTTGCGGCGTTTCTATGAAAACGCCACTATAGTCCAACTCTTTTGTGGCGTTTCTATGAAAACGTCGCTAATTACCTTTATTTAGATAAAATTAAATGATTTTACATATTTCATTTGTACTCTACATTTTTATACAAACGCTGCAAAAGGTGGGTTATATAGCGTGGTTTTTTATACAAACGCTGCTAAATACATTGATTTATATAAAATCAAATATTTTATAAATATTTAATTTATGCTCTACATAAGTACATAAATTTACTCCTCTTTTTGTTTAACCTAATTACTAACAACCATACATTTCAATTAAGCCATAAGTTACGCATAAATATACTTAACACTAGAGGCAATACAATAAAATTTAGAAACATTAAAGTTATGCATAAACTGTTTTTTCATCATATTGTTCACTAGAATATATTTAGTTGTGCTCCTTCTTGGGGAAAAGACGTAGGAAAGTTATTTTCCTTGTTTGACGATGCATCGTTAAGTTTTTCCTCCCTGTAAACTCTATATGGAGAAACTCTTCATCCATTTCACCAAATAAATCCCCAACCTCCGGTTCACCAAAAAGACTCTTTGCGCGCTTCAGTGCTTCACTTGAAACAGATAACGACCTTCCACCTACACTATGAAACTTGATTGGAGGTTGCTTGGGAACTAAATCAAACATTAAATTAAATTTAAATAGATGATATAAGTGTTTACTTGGAGTAACAGTTGAGGCAACGTCTCTTCATTGAGGCAACGTCGGTTCTAAACATCGGGTATTTATCCACTCCTCTATCATCGTTCTCAATAAGCTTCGAAGATCCTACATGCATACGATCTATGAAATTTTACTGACCTTAGAAAAATAGTATATATAGCATAGCGACTTAAAGATTTATAGATTATTACCTTCAACTAGGAGATCGACCATGGAAGGGTATGGAGCAATAGAAGTTCCTTTCGGCTCATCATCGAGTTTCGACGGCGAGACTGGACCGATAGTCTCCCAATGATAATTTGATCCATTGTCAGAGCAAATACGCCACATAGACATTCCTACGATAATTTCTCTTACTCAACGCAACACCTGCTCCTTTTTTTCTCCAATACATTAGCTTTCTAGGTTTTCCCCATTTTCAGAATACCAACAAAAACAAAAATATCATTACTGATAAGAGGAATCAAACCGTGCAATTGTTTTATAGTTCCTCGGTTAGAGGGCCGATTTGATCGTCGGGAGATTCAAAAGACGACGTCGCTTGGAATCGTACTCAGCATGTTGTTGTACCAGAGAAGAAGATTTAAGGGAAGAAGAGTTGAAATGATTTTAGGGTTCAGGTAGGAGAAAAGGGAGGACCATATATTTAACATTTTGCGGCGTTTAAAAAAAACGCCACTATATCACATATTTTTTGCGGCGTTTATACAAAAAAAGGCCAATATTGAGTAACACTATTGTGGCATTTGTCTAAAAACGATGCTAAAGCATTATTTATTGCGACATTTGAGATATAAATATCGCTAATTTATCATTCTATTACTGCGTTTGTGGTATAAACGTCGCTAAATTACCACTATATTGCGGCGTTTGGCGTAAAACGCTAAAAAATTCTTCTCTATTGTGGCGTTTTTTGGAAAAACGCCACTATATGTATATTATATTGTAGCATTTGTACAAAAAACGCAGCTAAAGTATCACATATTGATGAAGCATATTGCAGCGTTTTTTAAAATCGCCACTATAAACAACCATATTGCGGCGTTAATCAAAAAACGATGCACTATTACTACTATATAGCGGCGTTTTTATAAAAACGTCGCTCAATGACTAATCTTTTACGGCTTTTGTTGATAAAACGCCACTATAAATAACTCTATACCAACGTTTGTGCCATAAACGCCGCTAAATTACCATTCTATTACGGCGTTTTTGCAACAAACACCTCTAAAGTATCATTTGGCGGCGTTCGAAATATAAACGCCGCTATATTCTAAAATATTGTAGCGTTTACTCTCCAAATGCCGCTAAAAACGCCGCTTAAAAACACTTTTGCTGTAGTGACAATTAAATATGTAATTTACATATTCTAATTTTTCATTAATTTTTGTTATAGAAATTAATTTTTTTTTAAACTATATATATATATATATATATATATGGTTCTAACAGTGGAGTGCTGAGTCGGGGGAAAGGGTGATATTAGCAAGTTTGTCTGCAAGTGAGTGTAGGAAAATGCTACGAAAATAGAGAAGAGGACTTCATGCTGCTCTTACGCGCTATACTATGTCGTTTTATAAAGCTAATGGATTGGGTCCACCGACCCTCTCCTTCTTCATCTCTCTCATTTAATTTTGATTTCAAAACAAACTAACCAAAACCAATCAGCTAAAAGTTAAAAGAAGAAAAAAAAATATGGTTGAGATGATGACGATGATATATATGTATGTGTTAGTGTCTCTGCAAGACACCAAATAAGAGAAAATAAAAGAAAAAATATTCACAATTTGGCATTTAAAAGCAGCAAAATGTCCATAGCTTAGATTTTCTCTTATTTTTTTGCTTTTCTTCTTCTCTCATCAAACTTTCTTCTGATTTCAACAAACTTTTATGGCCTTTTCAGATTAGGTTTCAATGTGGGTTTGTTGTTAGATTACTGGGTTTTTCGAGGAGATATTATATCTGAGAAGTTAAATAACTGCAACCGAAGAAGGTGAGGTTTTTGTTTGAAGATGGCGGCTGAACCTTCTTCTTCCTCAGGTCATTTCTTTGGAATTACAGAAGAAAATCAGAACCAGATGAAAATACTTCATTCTTCAACACCGACTTCATCGACTAGACCGCCGGTTGATCCATCCCCGCTGCCTCAAAAGAAAAAGAGAAACCAACCTGGAACTCCAAGCAAGTATCTAATTTCCCAAACCCTAAATTCTGATAGTTTGTTTTTGTGATGACAAGGGATTAATTCTATATATGATGACAGATCCAGATGCGGAGGTGGTAGCACTATCTCCCAAGACTTTAATGGCGACAAACAGGTTCATCTGTGAGGTGTGCAACAAAGGGTTCCAAAGGGAACAAAATTTACAGCTTCACAGAAGGGGACACAATTTGCCATGGAAGCTAAAGCAGAAGACAACGAAAGAAGTGAAGAAGAAGGTTTATGTGTGCCCCGAGCCCACATGCGTCCACCACGACCCCTCGAGGCCACTCGGCGACCTCACGGGCATCAAAAAGCATTACTCGAGAAAACACGGCGAGAAGAAATGGAAGTGCGACAAGTGTTCGAAGCGGTACGCCGTGCAATCCGATTGGAAAGCTCATTCAAAGACCTGTGGCACCAAAGAGTACAGATGTGACTGTGGCACTCTCTTCTCAAGGTATTCAACTTTAATTTCTTTTCTTTTTCCCTTCCAGTTTAAGTTGTCTCGGTTTAGATTCATCAATCGAATTTAAAGCTTAAACCCATCTTCAAGAAACAAGAAGAAAATTGAAACAGTTCAGCTTTTGTTTGTACATGGAAGTTGGAACCACCGTTTCTTTTTTTTTTCTTTCTATTCACGTGATTGTTTGCCATGTATAGTTCTTACCACATTTGTTCTTTTGTGGGTTGGCTAGACATGTTCAGGTCTGTGCTCTTGCAGGTATCCATTCTCATGTATAGGTTCGGTGTCGATTATGGTTATTATCGAACCGCTATTGACAGAGCCGAAACAGTTAAATAGCCATCGTAATTTAGAAAACGAGATTTTCATAACTGGGAAATTTAGATATATTCCTCAGTTTTTTGCATTAATTGAAAGACAAAAAGTCCCGGATTGGGGTTGTTGATTCATCACTTTTCACCTGCTTCAATACATTCTCTTGCTGCATTTATTGAACACCCAGTTCTTGAAATGGTAGTTTAGGGTCAAAATTGATTGAATCATTTTCATAGTTCTCCAGTGATTAGTTCAAAAATTATTTGTTTTTCCCACTGCTTATCTAATGGATTGCTTGTTCACTGTGTTGCAGACGTGACAGCTTTATCACTCACAGGGCATTTTGTGAAGCATTGGCTCAAGAAACTGCAAGGCAGCCTCCTTTAAACTCCATTGGCAGCTATTTATATGGAAGTAGCAATTATATGAGCCTAGGGTTATCTCAAGTTGGAACCCAAATTTCATCGATTCTAGACCACAATAATAATCAAAGCGCTGAGATTTTGAAACTTGGTGGTGGTTCGAGGAGTTCGCAATTCGATCATCTTCTTCAGCCGTCGATGGGTTCTCCATCGTTCTCGTTTAGACCTCAAGAACAGCAACAGTCGATGGTTACTTCACCAGGTTTCGTCATGCAAGAATCGAATAAGATTTTCAACAAAGAGCATCAACCCCAACATGGGTTGTTGGGAAACAACAAATCATTCCAAGGATTAATGCAGTTTCCTGAAACCAATAACAACAACACAAGTAACACTCCATCGGCGGCCGGTTTCTTCAACCTCAGCTTCCAGTCGAACAGCGGCAGCAACAATGGTGGTGCAGATTATTATTTAGCGTATTCGGGTTTGCTGATGTCGGATAATTTCAACAACGACAATGGCAGCAACGGTGGTGGTGGCGTAAACAAAGCATCGAATCTCTTCTCGAACAACTTGATGAGTGATCAAATCACTTCCAACAACATTCCTTCTTTGTTTAGTTCATCGGTTCAAAACAATAACATGGTGCCTCAAATGTCCGCCACCGCATTGCTTCAGAAAGCTGATCAAATGGGCTCCAATTCGAGCAACAATAACAACGACGACGAAGATTCTCTTCTAAGAAGCTTCGGAACATCGTCTTCAGCCGGAACCAAAACCTCAAACTTGGGAAGGATTTTCGGGGTAACTACCGCCAGCAACAATCTACATGAACTAATGAACTCCATAGCCAGTGGTAATTCCCCCATTTTCGGAAGCTCCGGTGTAGTCAATACATTTAACACTTATGCAAACAGAACTAGCTTGGAACATGACAAACTACCGCAGCTTCCGCCGCCTCATCAGCAAAGTTTGAATGTTAGCGGTGGCGGGTCAGACAGATTGACTCGGGACTTTCTCGGAGTCGGACAAATAGTTAGAAGCATGAGCGGAGGAGCTACACAACAACAACAACAACAAGGGATCGGAAACACAAATATTACGGCGCCGACGAGCCACCAATCTTTCGGAGGACGTGGGAATTTCCAGTGACGAAAGAAATCCAAAAACAAGAAAAATGGAGAAAAGATATGAAGAAAGTACAAAGGTATGTAATGTAAAAAAAAAATTAAAAGTTTTACTTTTGGATTTCATCGCTAAATATGACTTTAATTTAACTTTTAAATTACTTTTTCTTGCTTCTATGAATTCTCTGACACACTGTCTTGCCTGAAACAGTCATGAACCGTGTGGTACATATGGGTTTTGTTTCTTTTCTTGTCTGTCTGTTTTTTTTTTAAAAATAAATAAACATTTTTTTGGGCTGACAATGTTGCCCTCATCATATAGATTCCCTAAGCAAACATATCTATCTTTTCTTCTTTGACCATACATCAATCATCTTCATTCCCTCTTCTTTTACCAGTATTAATTATTGGAATAAATTACTAGTTTAATATATAAATTATCAATTTTAGTATTTAAATTTTTAATTTTTTAAAATCATATTTAATGTTTAAAATCATGTTTTTATAGGTAAATTACATCATTCATCCCTCAACTATCTTCACACTCCTATTTTGGTACTAAATTTTTTAAAATTTCAATTTAACTACTCAACTTTCAAATTGCTCCTATTTCAATCACTTTGATTTATTTATTAATATTTTTTGTGACATAACATTTTTTTATTATTATTTTATTAATATATAATTAAAAATAAAAAATAAGTTTTAAAGTTTGAGTGATTAAATTAGGAGAAAATTGAAAGTTGAGTAATTAAATTAAAAAAATAAACTTTAGTGACAAAAAAAGGAGTGAGAAGATAGTTGAGTGATGATTGATGTAATTTACCCATAAAAAGGTACCACATGCAAATGATCCGTTAAGTTTTTAACGACGAGGTGTTAAAACGAAACAAAAACTAAACGTTAGGTATACTTTTGAATTTTTAAAAAAAAATTTAGGTATTAAAACGGACCAAAACTGATCGTTTATATACTAAACGTGTAATTTACCCTAATTTTTACTACTATGATTTTTTCCCATCTTAAACTATATTAATTTCATTGGCATTTGATCCGTGAAAACATTCGAGTTTTTTAATAATTGTACCGTATATGTTATTTTTAGAGTAAACTACTTATTTAATCACTTAATTATTATTATGATTTTATTTTGATTATTTAACTATTTTTTAAATCATATCTAACGTTATATTTTGTTTCATTTTGATCACTCGTTAAAAATTTCACATGTCAACATCACCGTTAATTGTTTAATAACATATGATTAGAACATAATCAAAACATAATTTTAGATAAGATTTTGAAAAAAAATAATTAAGTGACCCAAACGAAATCAAAGTAATAGTCGGGTGACTAAATATGCAGTTCACTCATATTTATAATTATATTTATATATTTTATTCGATAATTGTATAGATTTTATTACATTTATATCTTCATTATTTTTGTATCTAAAACTTTCAATATTTTGTATGAATATGTTGTAAAAAAAAAAACTCACTGTTTCTCGTTAATTTTTAGCTTGAAATCCAAATTGTAAACTGGGTTCATGCCTCCACGGCAATGGTTATACAATAAAATAGCAGTAAATAGTAAATTTTGACAGTAAAACCGTGGCTTGTTCTTTATACTCCTAATAACGGTCCTTTTTGTAAATAAATAAATAAATAAAATATTTATTTATAAGTATCACCCTATGAAGGAGTAATAATTTTTGCTGTTACGTACGAGGTTCTTTACTGTGCAGAAAAAGCTAATGTAGAAAACAAAAATACTTTTCTTTCTTTTTGTTGAGTAAAATACTTTACCCTTTTATCACCTTTCACGTCAACGTGGATAATTCCATCACTGTACACTGAATTTGATTCTCATTTAATATTATATATATCTGATATAAACAAAAATATTGCTTGCATGCTAGATTTTTGGAAGTTGATTGTTTTTCACCACGACTAACTTCTAGACATAATAACAAATAATTAAAATAAGATACAACATACGAATTATTTAATTAAGACTTAAGATATTCTATTAGCATGTCGCATGTACTTGAAGCATCATATCTCTTGCTATGATATTAATTATCAAATTTAGCTTCTTCTTTTTTTAAGGTAGACATTGTTCGAAGGCAAACGACTCGGGAAAAACGAAGGTTGGAGGGGTGAGGTTTTCAAAACAGAAACGGTCATCACTCGACAGAAAAATGCAGGTAATGAAACCTAAAATCCAAGCTATATTTTGTATGAAACCTTTACTTGTTTGTTTTCTTTTCTCTTCAACTGTTAATGTGAGTTTCCAATCTTTTTTTTTTCTTACATTGGAGGGTGAGTTTAGTTCATCCTTTTCAGCTACTTTTTATTGCATTAGTTATATAATTAGGCAGCCGCCATTATAGAATATATAAGGATCCAGTGTCGTTTCTTTTTTGCCTTCGGATGCATGTGCTCTCCAAATGTATATTGTCCTACACTTAACACTTGTTGGCATCTTCAAACCAATATAATTCTCTTATTTTAAACCAATATCTATTTTGTAATTTGACCGTATTTTATCCTGACCTAATAGAGCAACGCATAGGCAAAATATGCAACAAGTGAATGGTAAAAAAATTTCCTGGTAAACTAACATGTGACCTCTATAACTGTATAAGGTGACCAAATCCTCATTTGATGCGATTCTTTCAATTTTTAAAGGGCCCTAGCTTGTACAATTTCCAGGATACCATGTCCCCTTGTAGTTGTAAATATTCCATGGGGGAATGTTATACTTTTCTTGTTTTTTTAATATTATTTGGATTAATGTGCCTGCAATGAATGCATTCTACCAAGTATTATGTCAATTTTTTATAGATACATTTTTAAATTATATATAAATTTTAATTTAATATGTAATGTAAAATATTCTTTTTATTTGATTTAACTATATACATAGAACTTTGATATTCAATTTATATCATCCTAAAATAACTTAGTATACGTTAGAAATAATACTATTGCAAAATAGATCATTTATATTGACTAGTAATTAAATCGAATAAAAATAATAATCCACACGTTAATTATATCGTTACAAATTATTATTTTAGAATTGCCGTCGTCAATTATGAAACTTTCTAATATATATATATATATATATATATATATATATATATATGATCTACTTACATAATGTAAAACTTTTAATTTTATATAGATTTAAAACCATTTGATGAGTGAAAATAAATAGTTAAGATTGACTGCTTGTTTTTTCTTCTTCTAGTGAATATATATATATTAGAAATTTTCATAACTGACTACAACAAATCTAAAATAATAATTTGTAAAACAAAGAGTCAAACTCACCATTTATTTTCACTCATCAAACGATTTTAAATATGTGTAAAACTAAAGAGTTTTACATTGTGCAAGTGGATCCTACCCATATATATATTAAATTAGATTTTGTCTCTATCTCCAAATATTTTAGGCATAATGCATAGAAATGTTTCTAAAGTTTAACTAAAAGTCATTTTTTTAATTCTATTTTTTGAAGTATTTTGACACTTAACGTTTTATTTTAAGATAAAATGCTTTTGACATTTGACTAAATAGTCACTTTATCTCTTTCTTTGTTTTTTTTAGCATTTTGACCTCTAACGCTTCATTTTAAGGTAAATTTGACCATATATTAGAGCATTAACTATTTGTTGACTATTTCTTAAGAAAAAAAAATTGTTGACTAGTGGTTTCCATTCAATGATGTATCTTTTTATCTCAAAATAAAACGTTGAAGGTCTAAATACTTTAAAAAATAAAACTAACATAACTATTTAATCAAATGTTCAAAACTTTTTATCATTATTTTTTTTAATTTAAATACTATTTAAACTATTAAATTATTTACCTCTAACATCCTATCCTATTTGAGTCCCTGCACTTGTCAATAACACCAGTCGTCGGGTTGACAATTGGACAAGCTTGGATTGACTTTTATTGACATGTTCAACTTGAAACCATTAGTGTTGTTTTAGTTTGGGGAACTTTTGGTGCTCTATCTTTATATTACCCCAACTGTGATAAATAAAGTTAACCAATTTTGCTTAGTTTTATGTATTTGGTGCTCTATATTTGTTTGGGATTTTTTTCAATAAAATATCAATTACTAGAAAATATGTTTTTTTTTTAATTATTAAAAAGACGTATCACTTCATCATTAAATATTATTATGCCATGTTATATTAAATATGTATTTTGATTTTAATGATAACATGATTTGTTTATAACTTTTGGAAAAGAATATTTATTATAAATTTATAATTTATGAAATATTATGTATAATTTATCCTTAAAAATTTAAAAGAAAAAAGGTTCAAATATGTTGTAAATAAGTACTGTGAAACAGATTGGCAGTCACGGACTCATTGATTCCATAAAGAGAAAAAGGACATCAATTGCGACAAAAGTGCCACATTATCCGACAGTTTCCCAATAATTACTATAAAGAATAATTCCTGATTCTTTCTTTGCCTCTGTCTGAATTTCAGACCCAACGTTATTATTTATATATACTTTGTATTTCTTCAATCTCATAAATAATTTTTAATAGATTCATCATTAAATTTGTATCACCTTTTTCAATAATACTAAAATAAAAAAAAAATAGGATAATATGTATAATTGTCACACCTATTACATTAAATTTATTTAAAGTTTAAAAATAAAATATGTCCAATACTCACCCCAAATAAAAATCTCTAAATCATAAAATACTTAAGTTTTATTTCACATTTTTAAATGTTATTATAACAATCTTATCAGTGAAATTAGCATTTAATTAATAATTTTTATTTTTAATTTAATAATATTATGAGAAACTAATGGACTCTTTTATGCAAGTACAATTAAACGTTATAAAGAAAGGGAAAGAAAAGGAATGGAGAAAATGTCCAAAGAATGTCAACAATAGACCTGAGGAGCAATAAAATAATTTTCTGTCTGTATTAATTAATCAGTTAATTTCAAATGTATTAATTAATTAGTATTGGGTTAGGTATTAGGTGGCCAAATAAATTCTCCATCGGAATGATATATAAAAAATACATTTAAGAGAATAATCACCTGCATCGAAATAATTAATGGGGTTTATTAAGTGAATAAAAGAAATGATAAAATTTAAAAATAGTTAAAAGAAATTAAAATAATCATTCACTTGTCCACTCCGTTGGAATGTAGTAAGCATCTCAAGATTCTCGATGTCATCACTGATCTGTTGACCCATTCTTCACATTTTAAGCAATCAATTGAATTATAAATAATTTGTATTAATTTTTTAATTAACTTGAATGCCCTGATAATCACGTTAATTTCCACGATTATGGATCTTATGAATCTAAAGGCCTAAACATTGAATCACAGCGGGCATAAACAAATTCTGAGAATCTTTGTTTTATGGCAAAAATCAGCCAAAGTAACCCTTAAAAACACTTTTAGTTTTAAGAAGGAAAACCCTAATTCATAAAGTTCGATTCAAAAGAAGAAGAACAAGAAGAAACCATAAGCTTTTCGTTTTTCCCGCTACTTATTAACCCTACAAAAAGCTTTGCTTGGCTTTTTTAGACAAGTTTTCCACTACCAAATTGCTGAGTCGACGTTGCCTGAGCCGATGACTTCATCTCGGGGTTCAAAGACCCTATGTTGATCCCATGTTGACTACCAGCTCCACCGATGTTTCTCACCATTTCTCCCACACCCAGAAAATCCAATGTTAATTTGTCAGTCCCACCGATGCTTCCCGCCAGATTTTGATGCAACTTATTACCTTCATTAACGTTGGAGAAGTTGTTGTTTCCATGATGTTCGACTTGCGTCCCCCCACTTCCGGCGAATCCTCCGACGAAGTTGCTTTGATCTTGTCCATGGCCGGCCCCGAAAATGGAAGAGTTAGCAGTGGCAAGAGAGTTCATTAGTCCTTGAAGATTGTTGTCATCGTTCTCCATCTGTGATCTCAGCGTTTCTCCTCCTCCACCTCCACCGCCTCTGCTACTTCCGCCACCACCAAAATTGCCGCCGAAGTTAGCGGCTAAAACTTGTCTTTCGGGTTTCATCCCACTCGACGAAGAGCTCCCAAGTCCTCTTAGCAAAGAGGAAGTGTGGTTGCTTGTAGTTGAACCCATTTGAGCAGCTTTCTGAAGCAATGCGGTTGCCGACATGTTTGGAGAAATGCTCTCATGTTGCATTGAGGTAGTAGTGCTGTAAAGAGAGGACAGCCCCGAACCAACCTGATCACCCATGTTGAACTGATTACCACTTAAAAACCCGGAATTCAATAAGTTGACGGCTGATGAACCGCCGCTTTCGCCGGCACTCATGCTGCTCGAACCACCATTGTTGGGGAAGAAGCCTAAATTGAAAAGATTGGTAGAGTTGGCACCGGAATTGTTAGTATTGCCTTGAAGGTACGGAAGTTGCAATAGACCATGTAATGCTTTGTTCATGTATGTGTTGGAAATAAAACACTCACACAAACAACTTTTATTGAAACTCAAACAAATATTACAAGAGTACTCTCACTCAAAAACAAGAACTACAACTCACTCTTATAAGACTTTGCTTCTTCACTCACTTAGAAGCTCTTAATTTTTCTTGATGCTTAAAACTAAAATGGGAAGGGGTATTTATACTACTCAAGAACAATCCTACACCACACAAATAAACTAATTTAAACCATTACAAATTCAACAAATATCTAACTCTCACCTAACTAAATTGATGTAAGCAATGACATCATTAATTAAATGATGTAAGCAATGACATCTTTAATTAAATGATGTAAGTAATGACATCAATTTAGTTTGGGTTTGGGTTTAGGCTCCCATAATGGATCAAGTTTATGATCCAACACCCTCCCTTAAACTTGATCTCGTGACCCCTAGTAGGTTCCTTAATCTTAAGAAGTCTTCGCTGGTCAGTGGCTTGGTAAAAATATCAGCAACTTGATCTTGTGACTTCACATATTCAACTTCCACATCTTTTCTTGCAACACACTCCCTTATATAGTGGTAGCGAATATCAATGTGCTTGCTTCGATCATGGAATACTGGATTCTTCGCTAAGGCAATGGCTGACTTGTTGTCGACACAAACCTTGGTAGGCTCTTCTTGTATCAAACCAATCTCCTTCAATAGATTTCTAAGCCAAATTGCATGACAAACACATGAGGTAGCAGCAACATATTCCGCTTCACAAGTGGATAATGTGACAATCGGTTGTTTCTTTGACATCCATGTGAATGCAATATCTCCCATGAAAAATACGAATCCAGTAGTGCTCCTTCGATTATCTATGTCTCCACCCCAATCACTGTCGCTATATCCAACAAGCTTGTAATCATTAGAAACTGAATAGAACAAGCCAAAGTCAATTGTACCTTTCAGATAGCGAAGAATTCTCTTTGCGGCTTTAAAATGGGTGGTTGTTGGGGATTCCATGTAGCGACTAACCAATCCAACTGCGTGAAGAATATCGGGTCTCGTGCAAGTTAGATAGCGTAGACTTCCTACCAAACTTTTGAAGAATGTTGGATCTACACTTTCTCCTTCTTCATGTTTGGTCATCTTGATCCCGTATTCTGCCGGTGTGCTTATTGGCTTACAGTTCTCCATCTTGAACTTCTTCAGTATCTCCTTTGCATAGCTTTCCTGTGAAATGAAAATTCCATCATTTTGTTGCTTAACTTCAATGCCAAGGTAGTACGCCATGAGCCCCATGTCTGTCATCTCGAATTCTTTCATCATCACATCCTTGAATTCATTAAACATGCTTGGGTTGCTTCCAGTGAAGATCAAATCGTCCACGTAGAGGCACACGATCAAATATCTTCATCTTTGATCTTGATATATAGAGCATGCTCGTAGGGACATTTGTTGAAGCCATTCTCTTGGAAGTACTTGTCGATTCGGCTATTCCATGCCCTTGGTGCTTGTTTTAGCCCGTAAAGAGCCTTCTTCAACTTCAACACCTTGTCTTCATGCCCTTTGACTTCATAGCCTGATGGTTGCTGAATGTAAAGTTCCTCTTCAAGAACTCCATTTAGGAAGGCGGACTTTACATCCATCTGTTGTATCTTCCACTTGTTTTGAGCTGCCAAAGAAATGATTAGTCTGATAGTCTCCAATCGAGCAACAGGAGCAAATACCTCATCATAGTCAATTCCAGCCTTTTGACTATAGCCTTTAGCAACTAGCCTCGCCTTGTGCCTTTCAATCTCTCCTTTGGCGTTTTGCTTTGTTTTGTACACCCATTTGACACCTATCGCCTTATGTCCCTTGGGAAGTGAGGTAAGTTCCCATGTGTCATTCTTCTCGATGGCCTTGATTTCTTCGTCCATCGCATCTCTCCATTTCTTTTCTTGTACCGCTTCTTGAAAGCTCACTGGTTCACAATCGACAAACAAACAAAATAATGTAAGATTATCTTGTCGTTCAGTTACCTCATAGAGATCTCTAAGGCTTCTTGTGCGTTGCACAACTCTTTCACTTTGACTCCCACTTGACGATGATGAAGGTGATGAGTCTCCTTGAGTGGTTGATGTTGGTGAAGTGGGTGGAGTTGCAAGCTCTTGTTGAGATTCATCTAGTTGCTCCCTCATTGTCTGCTCATCTTCTTCAAACTGAGGAAAGAAATTGAAGTCATCTGTATGGGAGTTAAAATCCCATTCTCCTTCTTCGTTGAAGACCACATCTCGACTAATCACAAACTTCTTATTGTCTGGATTGTACAACTTGTAGCCCTTCGAATTAGCATCATAGCCGATGAAGATAAAACTCTCGCTTTTATCATCAAGCTTCGTTCTTCTCTCGTCTGGTACGTGAACATGGGCTATACTTCCAAAGGTTCTCAAGTGGGAAATGCCAGGCTTTCTTCCACTCCATGCCTCTTGCGGTGTCTTTCCCCATACACTTCTTGTTGGAGATCGATTTGACAAGTAGACTGCACACGATACTGCTTCCGCCCAAAATTCTTTGGGTAGTTTCTTGCTTTTGAGCATGCTTCGTGCCATGTCGAGGATTGTTCTATTCTTTCTTTCTGCCACACCATTTTGCTGGGGGGATCTAGGAACTGTCATTGGTCGACGAATTCCATTTGCTTCACAGAACTCTTGAAACTCCCTGGAAGTAAATTCTCCACCTCGATCGGATCTCATGGCTTTGATCTTTCTACCGCTTCTCTCTCCACTGCTGCTTTGAACTTCTTGAATACTTCAAAAACTTCTGACTTCTGTTTCAAGAAATATACCCAGGTTTTTCTTGAAAAATCATCAATGAAGAGAAGAAAATAGTTATTTTACCGAGAGAACTTGGCTTGATCGGTCCACACACATCGGTATGGATGAGCTCAAGTGGCTTCTTAGCTCTTGTCTCTGACTCCTTTGGAAAGCTTTTCCTGAATTGTTTCCCGACTAGACACCCTTCACAGAGTTGGTCAGGATGGTTGATGTGAGGTAGTCCTTTCACCATCTCCTTCTTAGATAATAGCTCTAGACCTCCAAAATTGAGATGCCCAAATCGAAGATGCCAAAGCCATGATGCATCTTTGTAGCAAGCTTTCAGGCACTTTGCAACATCATTTTGTATGTTGATCAAGAACATTCTATTCTTTGACATCGGCACTTTAGCAATGAAGTTATTCTTATCATCTTTTATAGAAAGATTATAATTATTCATATGAATATCATAACCTTTCTCTACCAGTTGCCCTAAACTTAAATGTTACTTTTCATATTGGGCACATAGTAGACATTTGAAATAAATTGATGTCTCCCATCTTTCAAACGGATAAGAATGTTACCTCTCCCTTTCACTGCTATTGTGGAATCATCTCCAAATGAAACATTTCCACTTACTGACTCGTCTAGCTCCACAAACATGTCTTTCCTTCCACACATGTGATTGCTTGCACCACTGTCAAGATACCAGGAATTTGCTTGGCCACCATCAGTTTCCTTTCGTGCTAGAAGAAGAGTTTCTTTGCCATCTGTCTTTTCCTCCACGTAATTGGCCTTCTCCTCAATTTTGTTGTTGGGAGCTCTACATTCTGAGCATAATGCCCAAATTTTTGACAATTATAACATCGAATTTGAGATTTGTCATACTTTGAGTTTGGATTAATTCTTCCACGGCCTCGTGTTGAGCTTTCTCCTTTCTCATAGTTGTTGTTGGAATTGTTATTGTTGTAATTCCAGCCTCGTCCACGACCTCGACTTCCACCTCGTCCATGGCCTCTACCTCTTCCTTGGCCACGTTGGTTTCTATCATTGCGTTGGCTCTCATGCATATCCTTGAGTTGCAGCTTGAGGAGTTGCTCAGTAAACTCATGCTTCTTTTTATGCTTCTCTTCGTATGCTTGCAATGATCCTTGGAGCTGTTCGATCTTCATTTCTTCCAAGTCTTTAGTTTCTTCAATCGTCACGACGATGTGCTCAAATTTGGGATCCAACGAACGGAGTATCTTCTCTATTATCCTCACATCGTCTAACTTTTCACCATTTCTTTTTAATTGATTAGAAACAGCTACTACTCTTGAGAAATAATCTGAAATAGACTCAGATGCTTTCATGTTTAAGGATTCGAATTCACCTCTTAATGTTTGGAGACGAACCTTCTTCACTTGCTCGGATCCTTTGTAAGAGGTTTGCAGCTTCTCCCACGCTTCCTTGCTAGAGCTTGCACTTGAAATCTTTTCAAAACCATCATCATCTAATGCTTGATAGATGAGGTAGAGAGCCTTCTTGTCTCTCTTTCTTGAATCCTTCAAGTTGTCTTTTGATCTGGTGTAAGAGTAGCAAAAACATCATCATCCGCAGGCTCATTATAGCCTTTCTCTATGATATCCCACACATCTTGTGATCCAAGAAGTGCCTTCATTTTGATACTCCAATTGTCGTAGTTGTTGTTGTTGAGTGTCGGAACTTGGAATGGTGCCATACCATTTGCCATATCTCTCAATATAATGAGATTTTGTAAAATCCGATTGCACGGATGAATCCGGAACGATGAAAAAAAAACTTTGGAGGGACTTGGACAACTCGGTCAAGGGCTCCAACTCGGCTGAATCGGCTCAACTCGGTGAGTCAACTCGATTTTCTGGCAGCAGTCTTCCGGCGGTGCGTGGCGGTGCGTCAGAACTCAGATTGAGAAAATTCTGGCGGCGGCGTATTCCTCTTGTCGAGACCTTCGATCTTTCCAACTCGCTCTGATACCACTTTGTTGGAAATAAAACACTCACACAAACAACTTTTATTGAAACTCAAACAAATATTACAAGAGTACTCTCACTCAAAAACAAGAACTACAACTCACTCTTATAAGACTTTGCTTCTTCACTCACTTAGAAGCTCTTAATTTTTCTTGATGCTTAAAACTAAAATGGGAAGGGGTATTTATACTACTCAAGAACAATCCTACACCACACAAATAAACTAATTTAAACCATTACAAATTCAACAAATATCTAACTCTCACCTAACTAAATTGATGTAAGCAATGACATCATTAATTAAATGATGTAAGCAATGACATCTTTAATTAAATGATGTAAGTAATGACATCAATTTAGTTTGGGTTTGGGTTTAGGCTCCCATAATGGATCAAGTTTATGATCCAACAGTATGGTCCATTTCCATGGGGAGATTGATGATCCTGGTGAAAACCTTGGTTGGCCGCATCCGCCATGAAGAACATCGATCCGGGCATGTTATGTAATGACGAAGGATTCGAGGGGGAGCCGATGAGGTGCTCGAACTTGGCGGCTCCGCCACTTCCCAACCGCAACATATTGCTGGATGGTTGATTATGAGCTTGCAATTGGGATAATCCTAAGCTCATTTGATGATGATTACCTCCAAAGAGATGATGGCTCCCCATTGCGGTTAAGTCATTGGTGGGGTGTCTCGCGGTTTCTTGAGCCAACGCATCGCAAAACGCCCGATGAGTGATGAAACTATCACGTCTGCAATGAATAAAGAAAAGAAAATTTGTTAATAGAATTCCATTAATGAAAAGCTCAAACTCAAAGGTGTTGAAAATCAAAATATTTCCATTGTTTGATCACTTTTACCATTTTGAGAAGAAGGTGTTCAATCAATGAAGAGAGGGAATCATTTCCCAGTTTATGAAAAACATAAAAAGGGAAAACTCTGAAAAAGTTGTGTATTATTCATGGAAAGAATATTTTTCCATAACTATGAAAGCCATTAACAAATGACAAAAACAGTTTCAGGCTTAGCCCAATGAGTTTTCACCAATAAGAAACTTTGAGGAGAAAAAAAAATGACTGGTAAAACAGCAGATATATAATTGCTGCATGAAAGAATCAAAGAATTGTCCTCGAATTGCTCAGCAAGGAGAGTGACAGAAAAAAAAAATTGCCCCACACCGGCAAGAACCCTAACGTTAAAACCGTAGCAGTAATAATATATATATATATGTATATATATAAAAATATCATCAGAAGAGAACAAATCCAGTAACAATATACTTCGTGACAGCGTATGAATTAACAACACGTGAATATGAAAAAGATGTAAGGCGACGTTACCAAGGAAGAAAATAAAGAAGGGGAAATTTTAGTAATTTTTTTGTTTGGATGCCGAGAATCCTCATCAGCCATGGCAGTTTCGCAGATTATTGTTCACGTGCAAAACCAGTTTTTTTAAAGAGTTTAAAAGTGAAGGTGAAGAAGAAGAAGAAGAAGAGATCTAATGTAAAAGATAAGTAATCCGAAAAGGTGAAACAAAAGAACAGGCTTTATCACTGCCGAACTCCCAGTCCCCAAATCTTTTATCGAACACCTTTTTTCTTCTTCTTCTTTTCTCATGATAACATGGTTTTGTCAACTTTGATAACAAAAGGGTAAAGAAAAGCTTTGTGTTAATGATTATGGAAATGATTAAAGATTTTACCTGGAGAAAAGGGTTCCACAGTCACATCTGTATTCTCTAGTCCCGCAAGTCTTCGAATGAGCTTTCCAGTCGGATTGCACGGCGTACCGCTTCGAACACTTCTCACACTTCCATTTCTTCTCGCCGTGCTTTCTCGAGTAATGTTTTTTGATGCCGGTGAGGTCGCCGAGTGCCCTCGCCGGCTCGTGGTGGACGCAAGTGGGTTCGGGGCAAAGATACACCTTCTTCTTCACTTCTTTCGTTGTCTTCTGCTTCAGCTTCCATGGCAGATTGTGTCCTCTTCTATGGAGCTGTAAATTTTGCTCCCTTTGAAACCCTTTGTTGCATACTTCACAAATGAATCTGTTTGTTGCCATCAAAGACTTGGGAGATAGTGCTATCACTTCAACATCAGGATCTGCTTAGTAAAACCCAGGAGAAAAAAAATTGGGGGAAAAGACAACAAATTAAGAACAAAAACCAGATGAAAAAAAAAACTGACCAACTTTTAGATTAGGGTTCATTGGATTATCTTAAGTTTTTGAATTAGAAAACAAAAACTTCTCTTTGTTGTATTGAATTTACTCATGCGGATGTATATAAATGTAAAGAGATACTTGCTTGGTGTTCCGGGTTGATTTCTCTTCTTCTTCGTCTGTGGAGCAGTTGACGAAGAGGGTGGGGTGGTGGATGATTGTTGTTGTTTTATCATCTGGTTCTGATTCTCTTCGCTTGTTCCGAAGAAAGCTGCCGATGACGAAGCGGCGGCCATTTTCAATAGACTTAAGCTTCTCAGCAGGCGAAACCAATCTTCTCTTCACAACCAGCAAACCTAGAATCCACAAAAATCATTCAAAAGTAATTCAAAGAGAAAAAGGAAAGGGTTGGTGCTGCCATAGGAGGAGGGGATGATTTTTTTTCACATCCCCTTTAGTTTTCTTTTGAAAATCTTTGAAGGAATCAATAAAATAAGGAAGAAGAAGAAGACAAAAAAAACCAGAGAGAAAGGAGAAAGGAAAGAAGAAGAAGAAAAAAAAGACAAGAGATGAAAAGGCCACAAGATACCAAGAAGGAAGTATATAAGTAGACAGCAACAATCCGGAGTTGAAGAGAAAGAAAACAATCAAAACTATAGACTCCTCATAAATTCTTCTTCAAAATTGTTGTTTCTTTATTATAAAATATATGACTTAAGACTTGCAAACTTTACTCAACCATTTCATATCTCTCTCTCTCTCTCTCTCTCTCTCTCTCTCTCTTTTTATATATATATTACATACATAAACAAATACATACATACATACATGTTTATCCCATATACTCTCTCCCGGTCTCCCCTGCTGTTTTTTTTAATCTTACGTATGATTATAAGATATTATCCGTCCAATTTATTTTTAATTAATTGAAAACGTATATACACTGCAAATGTAATTATTCGAATATAAAATTTAACCAAAAAACAATATTTTTTTTACCACTGAAATCACTTGATAAATTCCCCTATGCTATTTTATTATCGTAATATTTTTTTTATTTTCAACTACTTTTTTTTTCTGGTAGTAGAATATAAATTTTCCATTTGCTTTTTTTTTTAACTTTATACTTCTAAGAAAACAATTCAGAGAAAGGATCTAAGATGATCCAGATTAACCTTTTCCATTAATCAAATTATACTTTTGTTATAGGTACAATTAAAATCAGATTTTTTCCTAAATAAACTAAATGATAAAAAATTATTTAAATTTAATTAATTTTTTTAAAATATTAAATTAAGTATATTAATTTTATATAATAAAAATAAAATTTTGAATTGAATCAGTCGAATCAATATCAACATAAAGTAGAGAGTATCTATCTAACCATACCCATACTTGATTTGGTTTGATCTTAACTCTATAGAAGAGGAAGTTGTTTAATTGGATCGGACTAGTCCTGTCAAAACTAGTCATATATATATCAAACCGATCTAAATCTAATTCGATTTTACCCTACCTTTATTCAAAAGAAGATTGTTTAATTGAATCAAACCAAATCCGTATAGAAACTAAACAAATATATAATAAATGAAATCTTAATTCAAACCCGATCTAAAACTTTATTCTTCTTGACATTACTTCTATCAAAAAGGAAGTTGAATTAAATCAAATCGAATCTAGATTAAAACCGAACAAAGAAAGTAAAGTATTTATGTTTAAACTCAATTCAATCTAATATTTCATCTATCTAAGAAGAGGATTTTAGATAGAATAAAACCGAACACATGCATGTCAAACTAAGTAAAAAAAAAAAGAGTATTTGAGTTAAATTCGAACCGGATTCAGCTCGACCCTACGTCCATGGGAGAAGAGGTTGTTGATGAAGCAAAAGTGTGTCGTTATGCCGAGGGGCCACCAGACAGTAAGACTTACCCTATGCCCATCTCTCCTTCTCTTATTTCGTATCTTTTCACCAACGTAAAGACAAGTTCGTCTTTCGTCACTAAAGATGATTTCAAATTTATTTAAAAATTTTACATTTTTTTTATTGTTTCAAATTTTCGAAATAACAATGAACAAAACCAAGTTTATAAAAACACTACTAAAGCTTCAACTTTTTATAGTGACAAATTGGCTATTCTGTGATCTGTCATCATTTAATAAACCTTGCTTTCTGTACTATTCATAAATAAATATCTATTTAAAGTATACAAAATTATGAATATTAAAAAATAATTATGAATAATTACTTCTCTGAGTTTGCATTAAATTATTTTCTTTTCCAGTCGCGATATTGTACACGCTATAAAGAATTTAACCGTAAATGATCTTTTATTGTTATTCGCAAAATTGCACGCGCTACATATAATTCAACCTCATTCTAAGAAAATGATAAACATAAAAAAAAAATGCACCAATCCTCTTTGAATGAGGCGATTTTGTTTCAGAACATATTTGACAGTGAGGCTACCAGATTCCGATTTAATCCGACTTGGTTAATTTCTCTTTACTCTAAAATTCAAATTTGATTTGATTCGAGTTGAGTTTAGAGAGAAGGGGAGTCAAAATCGGGTTAAGGGTATATCCGCCGGACCCGATCGAGATAATTACAAAAATACCACTATATATTATATACTCTAGGGTTTCTTCATACATTTTATATTTTAGGATGTTCTTTCTTTAATTTTGAAATTTCTTCAAAAACAAATTATTCCAGTTGGTGTTGGTTGTTCTAGAACGCATATTTCAATTAATTGTTGTTGATAGCTAACTTACTGTAAAATTTTATTCTAGATATGACGATTCATGCTTTATTTTCATGTTTTATTATGTAAGAAGAGACTAATTTATCCATTGAAAAATCTTTCAAATATTATAGCACCAAAGATGGTTAAGGATTAAATTCATGTAACCTAGGACCCCATGAAAGGGTAAGACTAGATAGTTGTTACATATTTGACAAAAATAATATTTAGATATTAGTCAACAAAAATGAGACATATTTTTGTAAGAAATATATTTAAACGTGAGACTTATGTAAGAGAGTCTAATGCTTAATCATTACATCCAATTAGGTAGTTGTCATTTAATCAACTAAAATACCATTTAGATTAAACAATAGTTGAAATTAATTATATTTGTTTTATAGTAAACTATTCTAATTGTCATTACAGAAATAATTTTTTTTCCATCAGAGTCAATGATCTTAAGGAATACTTTTATTTAGGTCACAAGAACCATTAGTGAAAGCTGACAGTAACGATCGAAATGAAAGTATTTCTTAAGTTCAATGACTCTAAAGAAATTTTCCAATTTTGATGATAGAAATGCAATAATCCTAAAAATTAAGTGACCATTAGTGTAATTCACCCTTATTATAATAAACAAAGAGCAAAGACAATATTCTCGTACATGTGTATATATGCATGTGATAGAATTGTCACCGGGGTCGGTAAGGGTCTTATGTCCCTTAGTTTGATAAAATTATTCTTTTAATCTCTCTAAAATTATAGTAACTTTTTAATTTAATATCGTACTTTCCTTAATTCCATAAAAGTGTTTTGAATTCTGGATTGTAAATATTTTAATTAATAAAATAATAAAATTAATTTTTTTATTGAGTTAAAGTTTTGGATTTAGGATTTAAGGTTAAAATTTAAAATTATGTGCAGGATAAAAACATCGAACATACAATTTGTATGATTATACAATAAATAATTTATAATGAAATAACTACAATAAATGAGAGCAAGAAGAATTCAATTTATAACCATGAAGGAAATTTTATTATTTTTCAATATTATATTGTATATATTCATATTTTGTTATTTTCTCTCTTTTATAATTTCTTTACCATTTTTTTGTTTTTAAAATTTTATTTTAAATACTTTTAGTTTTAGATTATTTTAATAATTATTTATAATATTATTTATATTATGTTTTTTGACATCTTGAGTCCTAATCAAAGATTTTCATTTATAATGCATTTGTTATTTTCGGCATTTTATCTCTCGATTCAATACGTATTTTCATGTTTAAGTTTCGTTTATAATGCATTTGGTTTTCCCATGTATTGAGAAATTATGGGACGTGTAATTAAAGTTAGATAGCGATCAATAGAGTTTAATTGGTTAACTGATATGGCTCGAAAATCGAGGTCATACATTATTACATTTTGCATGTGTTTATGGAACATATTGGTATTGGTTAATGCATGGATGAATATATTTGGTCACGTGTATGTAGTTAATCATCTCTAAACTCGATCCAAATACAGTAAAAAGTTTGTCAGTTAATAACTCATATGACTCCATCATAAATTAGAAGTCTGGTAATAAATAATTCCAAGTTCAGTGATTAATCAATGCAGCCATTAACCGCGTAAACCTTAAATTCTGATTATTCCCGTTAAAAATTGTAATATCAAAAATATTCGGGTAAGAAATTACGAAATTACCAGATGTCTGATAAAATATGATTCACTATAATTTCATGATTTGTTCGGAGAATCATTTTAAGAGATATTTAAGAGATCTCGGGTTCAAGTACAACGATTGTAGAGATATTTAAACATTCATTGTCAAATAATTGAGAGACTTTTAAACAGATATTACATTATATCTGTAAAACCCCATATTTATATATATAAAAAACACATTCCATCTTGCAAATTTTAATATACTCAATAATTGGAGTAAATTACCCATGAGATGTAAAAAAATGACATGGAATTGCTCTTGTTAGTGGATTTGACATGAAAATTAGTTTTTGTTCGACCTGATAAGATCATTGATTCACCTGTTGATTTCATGATTTGTTCGGAGAATCATTGATAATAAGTCCATAACCTCTGTAAAGGCTCAAAGCCTAGAATTTACGATTTCTGAACAAGTACTTAAAGACTAACACCATGGAAGTACTTTTTATGTCTAAATTATTTGAAATGACTGAATAAATGATAAGTTTGAATTAAATGGAAAGAATGGACGGAAGAAAAGGACTGAAATACCCTTGAACTATAAAATGACCAAAATACCCTTGAAGTGTGAAATAACTGAAAATACCCCAAACCTTAGAATGACTAAATATACTTCGAAGACCAGAATGATCTAAATATCCTCATGAGTTGGATTAAGCAAATGCTTTTGGATAACTTCTGAAGATACCGGTGAAGCTTTAAATGTTGTAGAGCCTTTGAGGTTTATAGAGTATGACCTAAGTAGGTTGATCATTTTTAATATCATTACAATATGGGAAGTAAATAAATACTGCTTAAATACATGTTTGTCTCCTCATGATCCATCCAAATATGGTTCTAAAGGTGATCATTTTGATTCTGCAGTGCAGCCAATTTTAATAAATGAATATTCATAAAGTTTCTCTGCATACATAATTGATAAGTGTCGCCTTTGCTGAAAATTGTACAGTGCGATTGGAATTGAAAACTTGTTAAGATGCTTGAAATCTAGAATTCTGTAAATCGTTGTATACCTTTATTAAATTGATTT